AGCAGCTCAGCCACCCGCGAGTGCCCGTGCCAGGCGGCCTCGTGCAGCGGTGTGCGCCCCGCCCGGTCGGCGGCTCCCACCGGCGCCCCGCGCTGCAGCAGGAGACTCACCAGAGGCACGTGGCCGCGCAGCACGGCCAGGTGGAGCGGGGTCCTGCCGGCGCGGTCCCTGCGGGGTCCAGGCGGGGGCGGCGTGGGTGGGGGCGGGTGGGGGACAGGGGCCGCGTCCTGCCCTGCCGGGTGAAGCCCCACTTCCTTCCAGTGAGGAGGCCAGGCCCGGGAAAGAGACCTGCTACCTTTGCCCATGAAGGGACGCTCTCCACCCTTCCCCAGGGACCTCAGTTTTGCCCGACGGGTGAAGAAGCTCCTGCCCAGTGAAAGGACTCTGGCCTAAGTAAGGTAGCTAATACCTTTGCCCATGAATGGACCCCATCCCCCCATCCCCTCCACCCCAGCTCCCACTGCCCAGCGAAGCGACCCTCACCACCCCACCCTGACCCTGGTGAAGAGACCGTGTCCTGCCCTGGGGCTCACCTCTCCTCCACACTGGCCCCTTGCTGCAGCAGCTGCGTGGCCAGGCCCACGTCACCCCTCCACACAGCCTGCAGCAGGCACCCCCAGGCCTGTGAGACACTGGGCCCCTCTGTCCCATCTCCCAGGAACTCCACTGCAGTTCCTCTCTCAGGTCTTGCTCACCCAGCTCAGAGCTCCTGGAGTCCATCTGGGAAGGCCGCTGACCCAGATGAGGGGAGGGGGGGAGTAGGAAGCCCCTGGAGAGTAGGTTGAGGCAAGTCTGCAGAGGCAGTGAAGGGGCAGACCCCGGGGCAGTAGAGATGTTCTACTGCAAAGGGAGGTTTTCAGGAGGGAAGCCACATCTGGAAGTGGAACAGTGATGTTGCAGGAGGGGCCTGAGTAAGGCCTCCAGCGTGGGTCACCTTGATTCTGGGACCCTAGGGCAGGGTGAGCCTGCGGGGGCTGGCCCTGAGGACTCCTTCCCATCCACCAATCCCTGGGTAAGGCCACCTGTCCAGAGCCCAGACGAAGAAGGAGGTGTGGCCAGCCCCTGCAGTCTTGCCCCTGCAGCTGCCTCTTGTGCCTGTCCACCAGAAGGTAGCACAGTTTTGGGGCGGTCGCTCCCACCCCAGCCCCCCTCCAGCCCACCAGGCTCCCAGGGATGAAGTGTCCTGAGGACCCTGCCCTGGCCACTACCCCCAGAGAGGGGCAGCAGAGCCTTGGCCCCTCCCCCACCTCCCTAAGAGAGCAGCCCTTCCAGGTGCCGGGTCCAAAGGGTGGGTCTCCAGACAAGGGGCTGAGGAGCCGCATCCCACCCCCACGCCACATGGACCCTACCCAGTGAGCCTCAGACACTCTGCTCAGATGTCACCTCCCCAGAGGGGCCCTTGAGCCTGACTGCCAAGCTGAAGCAACCTTGTCCAAGACCGTTTTATTTCTTCTTAGCGCTTCTCACTGCACGAAAGTATCTATTTTATTTTAAACGTCTGCCTTCCTCTTCTAGAATGAAGGCTCCACAAGGCACATCACACACTGGCAGGTTCGGTGGGTAAAGAATCAACACGCTGGTGCCGGCCCCGTGGCTTAGCGGTTAAGTGCGCACGCTCCGCTACTGGTGGCCCGGGTTTGGACCCTGGGCGTGCACCGAAGCACCGCTTCTCCGGCCACGCTGAGGCCGCGTCCCACATACAGCAACTAGAAGGATGCGCAACTATGACATACAACTATCTACTGGGGCTTTGGGGAGAAAAAAAAAGGAGGAGGATTGGCAATAGATGTTAGCTCAGAGCCGGTCTTCCTCAGCAAAAAGAGGAGGATTGGCACGGATGTTAGCTCAGGGCTGATCTTCCTCACACACACACAAAAAAGAATCAACATGCTCTGGGTGGATTCAGACAGTTTATTGCTTAAGTAGCCAGCAAAAGCAAGAGGAGCAAAGGTGTCAGCTCCCTGCATCCCTTGTCCCACAAGATGGCCCTGAGACTAATGGAGCCAGATGGCAGGTGGCACCAGGGGGCGTGGGCACCCTGTTGCTGAGGAGCCACTTCCAAGATGCAGATGCACCCTGGGGGCCTGGTGGAACATCCCGTACCTCGTCAGACCCAGGGAAGCCTCGTGACAGCTTCCCCAAAGGCAAAAGGCAGTGAGAGCCGGCCGTGTGGCCTGTCTTCCCATGTTCTGCCACAGCCTAGCGCATGGCAGCTTGCTCATGTGGGCTCTGTGGATTCGTGCCAGGCTGGCATAGCGCCCACCAGAGCCAACCCCATATAGGGCAGTGGCCTCTGCTGGCCTGACTCACCACTGAATCCATGGGGTCTAGAGCAGTGCCTGGCACACAGTGGGAGCTCAGTGAGTGTTTATTGAATGAGTGAATGAACAAATGAGGGACCCGAGGAGGGAGTGGGCTTAGAAAGGAGATGAAGCAGGGATCCTCTCTATCCAAACATTATCATTTACAACATTTTTTACTCCAAATTCACTATCTGAATAAATAAACAGCTACCGTAAGATCTTGGCATGCGTGTGCCCATGAAGACAGTTAAGTTGCATGCACAGAGCAGCAGGGCTTGGCATGCACTGCAGAGGAGCCTCAGCAGTTGGCCTGACGGGGCCTGTGCATGATCACTGTCATCCTCCCCTTCGTATGTATATGAAGGGAGGTGGTGAGCTTGAGAGGTGGGAGAACATCAGGAGAAAGTTTGGGAGAGGTAAAGCAAAGGGCAAAACAGGGTTCCCGTCTGATGCTGTGCAGCCTCCTTCCTTCAGCTCACAGACAACCCACTCGTTAGTGTAAGTGTCAGCTGGTTGTGTAAGTAGTGTTTGAAATGCTGTGTGTCATGCAGGAAAACCCTAGGCTGAGAGGGGCCACAGCTGGGGATGAGGGGACGAGCAGGGATCAGGGCTGGGAAATGGAGTGGGTGGTGACCTCCACATGGCGGCCACTGATGGGGCAGTTGTCAGAGTCCAGACCTATGAAATGAAGTCGTTGTGTGCGGGCGCTGGAAGCGGGAAGAGGGCGGGCCCAGGAGGGAGGAGGGCTCTACTGTGGGCCGTATGGACAGCTGTGCAGGTCCTGACCAGAGCACTACAGGAGCTGCCTAGCAGAGAGAGGTTCAGCTTGGCAGTCGGGGAAACGGGGGCAGGAGCGTGGCTCTGGAGACTGATGGTTGGGGCTGGACCTACCTGGGCCAGGGTGCTGCCCTCCAACCAGGTCCACTATCTGGTTGCTGGGGTCTGGGTGGGGGTCTGACCTGGGGACCTAGGGTTGACCCTTGGGGGCTTCAGGCCTGCCATCTGACCACCACTGTGAGCCCACCAGGCCCGCTGCCCATGAGAGCATGAGTGAGCAGGAGAGGGAGACAGAGGAAGGTGAGGGAGAGGGCGCTTCAGACACAACACCCATGCTGCCCCGAAGGCTTCCTGACTGCCAGGGCTCAGCCCTGATGTCCCCAAGGTGGGCAGGCCTGGCTGCGGGAGGCCTCGGGACCCTGCTGCTGCGCGGCCGGGCGCTGGCCGGGCTCCTGCTCCACCTGCTGCTGCCCACGACCGTGTTCCTGCTGGTGCTGCTCCCAGCAGCCGCCACCGTCTACCTGGGATTCCTGTGCCACTCGAGGGTGAGCCGAGCCCTCAGTGGGTGGAGGCGGGGGACTGGCCGGGATCCCTGGGGAGTGGGGGTCCTGTGGAAGTTCAGGACCCTGGGGCTGGAAGTGAATCTGCCCCCTTCTGGCACGGCCCCTTTGTCTCCAGAGACACGTGTGCCCCTCCCTGGAGAGCCCTTCTGCCAAGCCCCCTTCCCCCACACGGCCACGGCAAAAGAAGGGCTTTTGTTTGTCACCCGAGGAGACAGCTCTCTCCCCTCCCCTGAGGCCTCCCAGCCTTGTACCAGGGGTCACCAGGGTCTGGACAGCTGGGTGGGGTGGGGAGAGGAGGGGGGTTCCAGGAAGAGAAGATGAAGATATTGTCAAATTTCACCAGTCCACAGCCATTCCCCACCCCTCACCCCCCACACAGGCAGCCCCTCTCAGACTCCTGCTGCCTTGGGCTGGGTTTCCCTGTGTGGAATGGGCTATGGCTTGGTCTGGGGCAGGGAGGATGTAGGCAGACAGGACTCCTCATCCCCTTTCTGTAGGCATAAGGCAGGGGAGAGAGACTGAATACAGGGCAGCAGAAGAGAAGGTGGCACCAGCTGGTGACAGCCTCAGGTAGGGGCTTGAGGTCAGATGCCAGCATAGGGAAGGGCATGGGAGAGCAGAGCGAAGACAAAAGCAAGGGTCCGGCAACAGGGAGACAATTCTCTGAGCCTCCCCTCAAGGGACTCCTACTGGGACCATTTACTGCCTGGGTCCCCCATTTCCTATTCTCTACTCGGAAACTGGCCCACAGCCAGCCCCAGGCGCCCCGCTCCCCCAGCCCTCACGCCCGGCCACGCCCTGTCTGACCAACAGCCCCTCCCCGGTCTAACTTTTCCTTGGCCCCACCCCGGAATTGAGGCCCCGCCCCAGTCCACTTGCTCGTAGGCCCCATCTCTGGCCCGGCCCCCTGGGCGTCTCCCCATCCACCTGCTCCCTGACCCCACCCCATAATTGAGGTCCTGGTCCACCCGCTCCCAGGCTCTCCCCAGGCCACGCCCCACTCTATCTGCTCACAGGCCCCGCCCGGGTGCACTTGCTCATAGGCCTCATCCCTGGCCCCACCCCCAGGCCTCTCCCCATCCACCTGTTCCATGGCCCCGCCCCATAATTGAGGCCTGGCCCACCCGCTCCCAGGCCCCGCCCCTAGGCCGCGCCCCGATCCGCCTCATCCTTGGCCCCACCCCGGAATTGAGGCCCCGCCCCAGTCCACTTGCTCCGCCCCTAGGCCTCACCCTATCCACCTTCTCCCTGGCCCCGCCCAGGCCCACCTGCTCACAGGCCCCGTCCCCAGGCTCTACCGTGGTCCACCTTCTCCCTGGCCCCGCCCCGGAATTTAGGCCCCACCCCCAGGTCCACCTGACCCCCCCCGGCCCCGCCCTTCCTGACCGCGCGCCTCGCCCCCAGGTCCACCCGGCGCCCCGCCCCGCGTGCCGCGTGCTGCTCTCGGACCGCGGCTCGGCTGCGCTCATCGTGCTGGGCTTCCTCTCTCTGCCTCCGCTGCTCGTGCTCGCTTCGGCTGCCCGCGCCCGCCTGGCCCGGTGCCTCCGCCCGCTGTTGCCGCCCCCGGCCTGGAGCCCCGGACCCCGCTGCCACTCAGGGTCCGGCGACGGGGGGCGGGCAGGACGCCCCACCGACGAGGAGGAGCAGCTCTGCGCCCGGGTGTGACCCCCAGAGGCCTCTCCAAAGGACCCTGAAACTTCCAGATCCTGGGAGATGCCGAACTCCCCCGTAACCCCGCTAAGATGTCCCCAGGCCGGCGAGCTCGGGGTCTGCCTCCAGCTCCCGGCCAGGGAATCGCGTGCCTGCCGCGCGGCTCGATGCGCAGTGCTCCGAGCGGCCGCGAGATGGCACCGGCCTGCCCCGCACTGGGTCGGGCCTTCCCCGCCCTGGAGTCCCCCTCGCTGCAGGGAGGCTGCGAAGCCCCCATGGAGGGGGAGATGGCTCTCAGAGAAAGGCGGCCTTCCTGGCTTCTGCCACCCAGCCTGAGACCAGGTTAGAATTCATCCTGTGACCGGGGTCAGGGCTCAACTTGTGACCAGAGTTAGCATTCAGATAGGCGCCAGAGTAAGGGCTCAGTCTGTTTTCTCTGGGTCAAGATCTTCTCTGAGTTGTGTGGTTTTAAGCATGTTTCTAGTTGTGTATATGTTCTTTTTATCCTCTTCGTATACACTGTGTTCCGTTTCCTCGGATTCATACCTTTCATCAGTTCTGGAGAATTCTCATCCATTATCTCTTCAATTCTGCCTCTCATTCATTCTACATATTCTTTCTTGGGGACACCTATGAAATGAAAGCTTCACCTGTTCCCTTTACCTCCCATGTCAGTTCATCTCTCTCTTGTATCTTCCATCTCCTGTCTCTCTGTGCTATGTTCTGGGCAATTTTTTCATCTCCCTCTTCCAGGTCACTACTTCATTGGCTGTGTCTAATCTGCCAATTAACTCATCCATTTAATTTTAAATTAACATATCTAAAAGTTATGCTTGCTCATTATTTAAATCTGATCTTTCTTTTTTTTTTTTTTTGGTGAGGGAGATTGGCCCTGAGCTAGCATCTGTGCCAGTCTTCCTCTATTTTGTATGTGGGATGCCGCCACAGCATGGCTTGATGAGTGGTGTGTAGGTCCACACGTGGGATCCAAACTCTTGAACCCCAGGCTGCTTAAGCAGAGCACACAAACTTAACCACTACGCCACTGGGCCAGCCCCTGATATTTTCCTTTTTAGTATATATTTAGATCTTTTTTTTTTTCTTTTTTGGTGAGGAAGATTATCCCTGAGCTAACATCCATCTCAATCTTCCTCTATTTTGTATATGGGATGCCACCACAGCATGGCTTGATAAGCGGTGTGTAGGTCCGTGCCCAGGATTGGGACCTAAGAACCCCAGGCCTACAAAGCAGAGCTGGAGACTTAACCACTACTCCACCGGCCAGCCCCAGAATCTGATCATTTTTGATGCTCTCTTGGTGCATGCTCACTTTTTTTTTTGGTGAGGAAGATTGTCCTTGAGCTAACATCTATGCCAATCTTCCTCTGTTTTGTACGTGGGACGCCACCACAGCATGGCTTGATGAGTGGTGTGTAGGTCCACGCCCGGGATCCAAACCCTTGAAGCCTGGGCCACCAAAGCGGAGCTCGCAAACAAGCACTATGCCACTGGGCCAGCCCCAAGCTTCAATTTCTTGAACATTTCACGTATAGTTATTTTATATTCTGTACCTGACAATTCCAATTCTTTAGTCTTTGGGGGTCTAAATCTGTTATGTGTTGTTTTTGGTGAGTCTCACTAATAGCACATTGTTTCTTTGAATGTTTGCTCCTCTTTAATTGTCAGCCCACACCTGTGAAGACTCTGAGGATGAGTCCCTGCAGAGAGGACCCCCTTTGTGAGGCAAGACCACCTGGGCCCCGTTAGGGTCCTGGTGTAGTAGCTGCCTGTGTGGAGTGCCCACACTTGTTTCCCTGACTGCAGTGTGGCCAGTATGGCTCTCTGTCCCTGTGTCCAGCGGAGTCTCTACTTTCCCAGTTTCCCTCGTCATCCTGGGTGTCTGCTCGCTATTCTTCTGTTTAATTATTTATTTATTTTTAGTGTTTAATTTTGGGGGGAACTTGGAGATATTTACTTCCTTATGAGCCCAGCAGTGTATTAGAAATGTGATTCGTGCAGAATCTAGTGCTAGCTGAAAGGCTTTTCAAAGGATCTTGTGCACCATATTGCCAGCAGGGCTCTGCCTGCTACTGGCAGGGTCAGGGCTCAGACGTGCCCAAAGGTCAGGGCTCAGGGTTCAGGGTATGACTGGGCTCAGGGCTCATCCCATGGCCTTAAACAGGGCCCGGTGTGTGGCTGGCTCAGGTCCAGCAGGAGTTCTCGGGGTTTTCCAGTGGTCTGTGGCCAGTAAGACAGGAGTCTGGCTGGCTGCCCAGTGCCCAAGGATAACTCGTACCGGTTCGAGGCCGCCTTCCTTCCCCTCCTGCCGGGGCTGGCCAGGCTCTGGCCAGGCGTTAAGGATGAAGACTCTCCTGAGGATTCCCCTGGCCCTGGAGTCATCAAAACAACAGCTGGGCCTGGTGGGGGTGGAGAGGCCGCCGTGCGTGGGAGCTCAGCTGCCCCAGCCGCTGAGTTCGTAAGGTGTGTCCCAGCTTCCCAGGCTGGCCCTGACACCCTGCATGGCCTCCAGCTGGCCCCAGGGACGACCTGCCTCAGCCTCAGCTCTGCCCCACCTGCTCACAGAAGGAACACCCTCGGGGCGAGGGGGGCTGTGGGAGGTTCACAGAAGGGGTCTAGGGGTCTGCTCTTAGGGGGCCAGCTGTCAGGGAAGTCAGGAACATCAGATCGAGGTGCTGAGCTGCTGAGGGGGCCAGGGGGAGACCCCCACTTTGGGTGGTAAGGCTCTTTCCCCAGGTGTCCAGGCCCCTGCCCCCTGGGAGTGTACCTGGCCGTGGGGGGCCTCCAGGCTGCGTGTGCGTGCACGTGTCTGTGTGTGTGTGTGCGCATGTGCGATGCCCTCTGCTTCCCCTTGCGCCCTGGGTGGGGGCGAGTCCCGACCCCACAGGTGTGGGCTCTGCAAGGTTTCCTGACCTGCCCAAGGTCACTTGTTCATTCACAAAGTGTTTTCTGGGAGCTCAGGTGGTGGCAGGCACACCCTCAGACAGCAGCAAGTCGCTAGGAGGGGTCCAGGGAATTTGGCCAGTTCTTTCCCCCGAGCCTGCACCCCAGGCATGTGGGCCGGGCAAGGGGTGCTGGGCAGGAACCGAGCTGGGGTGGGTGAGTGCTCGGTAGGAACAGACAGAGCCCAGCGTTGGCTCTGAGGGCTAAGGCCTCTCCCACTGCCCCCTAGGTCCCACCCCCACCGCTGGGGAGCCCCCCAACCAAGGTGTTGACACAGGTCTCTCCCTCCCTGCCCACTCCTTCCTCATCCAAGCCCACCTGGACCCTGCCTGGGGCTGGGGCAGGTGTGGTGGTCACCGCCCTGATACAGAGGTTCTGGCAGAGGGAACCGAAGAAGCTGAGGGTCTCACCTGGGGAAAGGCACCTGTTCAGAGCCCCGCACAGGCTGAACACCCAGGAGCATTCTGGACACCTGCATTCCTCTCTGCCTCCCACCCCCTGCCTCCTGTTAGGCTGTACCTCTCACGGCAGCTACCGAGGTGTCTCCTTCGAGGCCTGGCATCAGCCCCCACCCTGCCCCTGCACATGCCACCGGTCCTTGCCTCCCCTAAGAAGGCCTGACAGCCTGCCCTTGCCCTTTCTGCCCCCAGGCCTCCTTACTGTCCTCATACACACCGGCCTTCCCCTACCCCAGGGTCTTGGCACTTCCTGCAGCTCCTGCCCACCTGGTCTGACATGGCCCCACCCTCCATCGGAAAAATAAGTAGACAAGCATCTTTGCAAGCCACGGCTGTCCCCCTTCCAGCCTGGCCGTGCTGGGAGGACAGGGCTCTGCCTGGTGCCTGGGTGTCCCCCGTGCAGAATCTGGCCTGTGGCTGGGCCCAGCACAGAGGTGATAGATGAATGCAGACAGGGTGGCACCCACCCCGTGCCCAGGCTGCCCACCCTACCAGCCGTCTCCCCTGCCACTCTGGCTGTTGCCGGCAGGAGGACTGGGTATGGGTCAGCTCTGGGGCCAGAGCGGGCAGGCCTGGGCTCGCAGGCAGTGAGATGATGGGACCTCCAGACCCCCAGGACCGGTCCTCAGGCCCTGGCGCGTCCCTCACCACAAACAGGCAGGTCAAGTCTAAAAGAATGTGTGGGTGGGGCAGCTGGGTGGGTGGTGGAAGGGGCCTCCAGGCCCTGCTGCTCTTGGCTGCCCCCTCCCTCTGCCCGACTTACTGTTGCTGGGGTCGGGTCAGGGGGCCTTGGCCTCACCCCACACCCCCACCCCACGAGAGCCACCCCTTCCTGTTTCTGTGTCCCCTGGTGTGTGCGTGGGTGCTTGTGTGAAAAACAGCAGCACACGGCACCCCGCAGGGTGGGGGCGGGGCCCAGCTGCTCTGCCCCTCAGGCCCAGCAGAGTGCCTTTGCTGGGGTCAGGCATGGGGTCAGAGGCTGCCGGAGCTGCCCTTTTCCCTGGGGTCAACATGACCACAGCGAGCTGGGGACAAAAGGCCCTTCTTCTCTGCAGAGGCTGGACTGACTGTGCAGAGGCGGGAGCCTTCTGCAGATTGGGTCGGGCAAGGCTGGTGCCCACGGAGAGCAGTGTCCCCAGGGTTTGCGGAACTCCCTCCACCTGCCTGTGGACTGACCGCCGGGGTGGGCCAGCTCCTGGAAGTGATGCTTGGGGACTCCTGGACTGGGCCAAGGCTGCGGGGCAGGGCCACCTCAGCACAAGGGCTGTTCCTGCCTCCTGCCTCCAGGACTCCAGGACCAGGCAGGGGCTGGGCCCACTGTGTCCTGGCCACCTCTGTCCTCTGGCCCCTCACCTCTCGGCCTGTCTTCCTCCAGAGAAGTTTCCAGACTATTATCTTTGTTTCCTCTGGCATCTGCCTCAAGCTCAGCCCTGGGCCTGACCACTACACCCCTGGCTGACCCCCATGCTCCCCCGGGACCCTCTGCCTGCCTAGTCTCCCCTCTGGGGGTGCAGGACACAGAAGTAAGACTTGCCATGATGTTGGCAGCAGGGGTAGTGTGGCTGGCCAAGCCACGGGGCAGAGCAGGGGACCAGGAGAGCAGAGCTGGGGGGGCAGGGGCAGGGGTTTCTTCCAGGGATCAGGGGAGAGCTGAG